CCCCTGCTGCAGATACCTTGTAAACAAGTAAGTGTATAGTATCTTTAGCAAAAGAACACTTATCCTCGTTAATCTTAAGTTTGGCATGGTTTAGTCGTTTTAAGACTTCCTTAACGAGTCTAGCATGTTCATGTGCTGTCTCTGTAAAGGTAACTATATCATCTAAATATACTGATACGTTATCCGACAGGTCCGCAAATAGTTCCATCATAACTTGTTGGAAGAAAGAATGTAACATGTGAAAGCTTTCAGGTGCACCTTTAAACTGATACTTCTTACCTTGCCAAGTAAAGGAAAAGTATTTTTTATTTGTAATTGATGGAATGTAACTTTTAAGTCTACCTTGGAAAAGATAGTCGTACCTTTCATTTTGCGTAGTATCTCGCTTATCTTTGGTAAGGGAAAACTATGTTGCGGAATTAGTTTGTTGATTGGCAACAGGTCTAGTACTACTCTTGTTTTACTAAACGGCCCATCAGATTTATATTGATCGACCGCTAAGAGAGCTAAGCTAACTGGGGTTGCATCATAATTGATTTCAATTAGATCCTGTTTTAATCAATCTTCAGTTTGAGTTTTGACAACGTCTTTGTGTCTCCAACTCACGTAGTTATGTGAAGGACACTTTAACTTAGAGAATTCGACGTTTGTTAAGTCAAGCTTAACGTACCCGTTAGAGAAATTAAACATACACCAGTCAGTTATTGCAATCTTCCTATTTTGTATAATTAAGTCCATAATTATATAGGTAAAGTGCGGAATCATATCCTTTGCTTCACCTTCCGGAGGTTTAGGTATCTTAAACATGTTACCATCTGACTGATCTTTATTTGGGTCTAGCACATAAGGCAAACCAGTGAGAGTTATGCCTAAACTGAGAAGATCAGTCATACCTATAATTAAATCGTATTTCTGAGACATGTCAGTAACGATTAGGTGAGTCTTTACTTCTCTTCTATCTGACAACATTATGTGTGCATAGTCAATGGCTTCTTCGCAAGTGGTAACTTTGCCATTTCCCAAGATTAAATTGGTTGTTTTGTTTTAGATAACCATATCTGTAGCGTAGGCTACTCGGCGTGAGATAGCAGAGACTTCAGCCCCTGGATAAAAAAGTGCTATAACATTTCTCCATTTACATAAACGGTTTGAAATATACGTTCATCTCCTTTGGTATAGATTTTATTAATTTTTTTCTCATAAATGTAACTGTCAGTGCTTAACTTGTACGTCCGGTATGTCCTTGCAATCATCTTTGTGCCAACCGTTAGTACCCTTGCAAGTAGTACACCTTTCATATAGGGATAATATTATTTATTTCAAAAATGGCAACTATGTATGATACAATGTATGAACATATGGTATGGCTCTCATAGTCGCTGTAGTGGTTCAGGAAAGATTGATGGGTGTCCGTGATTTGTAGATGCGTGGCCATACTTACGGTGTCCAAAGTCTGGATTGCCTGGTGCACACTTAACAGAGTCGTGTTTACCATTCCACTTGCCATCACGTTTAGTGAGGCTGTAACCACACTTCTTGCAAGGTGCTCTCTCCTTCCTTTCACCCTTTGGTTCTGTAGAAGTAGAGCCTTTACCACCTCCAGCAGTAGTGCGAGGTTTCTTCGTATTACGCGCAGTGTTATTCTCTAAGCTCGAGGTACTAAGTACTCTAGTAGATGGGTTAGTATACTTTTGAACTATCTTCTCAAAGACAGACTAAGGCGTAGATCGCAAATCACCATAGGCGATAATATCCTCATTGACCTTCTTAAAAAGGCTAGCCCCCAGAGTCTCCATCATCTGACAAATTAATAAATATTCGCCAGTATAGGTACGACCTCCCATCCGAGTGTTCATATGTGTCATTTGAGCTAGAGCACCTCGAATAGTAGTATCGTTTGCAAAGGACTTGCGAGACTCTAGAAGTTCACGGTCATACGCATCTTCAAAGAAGGCGTTAAGTATATTCTTGCGCAACTGGCGCCAGGGTAGGGCTCTCCATTTGGGCTCATGGGCCTTCAAGATAGTTTTCCATTCCTCTGACTCACAGAAATGAACAAAGGCATTCATCATCTGCTTATCCTTAAGGCTGGCAGACTCCTTAAGTTGGTCAAAGGCCTTCAGTGTATCCACTGTACTCTCATTAGTAGAGAAATCAACCTCAGCCTTCGCGTTACCTAGCTGCTTTATAATACTTGATTCGAAGCGTTTACGAGGCTCACGCTCAGTGCTACAGGCCGCTAGTGCCAAGATGGAGTCTATCACCTTTCTCTTGTTATTGATTAGATAGCGAATGTTATCTACTTTCTTATCGTGAAGGTCATAGTCATTCAATAGACGGTCCTCAAGGACTTGCATATCAGAACGTAATAGCCTGAGAAGATGTTGTCTGGTTCTCACTTCCTCGTCTTCAGAGCTAGAGTGGGTACCCTCTAGTGAGGTACCGGTATAACGATTACCAAAATTGTGATTACCAGGGTTAGATGGTAAATGAGGATCGATGTTATGAGGGTGTAAGCCTCACCGATTTCCATACGATCATAGCCTCTGACAGAAGAAAATTCTCCTGATGTCCATAGTAATTGCATTAATCAATAACTTGCCACTTATCAAGAATTACCGACGTAGCCTTTATCAGACTGGCACATCTGTTTAATGGCCTTGTCCAGATATCTGATATGTAAAATGGAAAAGGTATTAAAAAAAACCCGTTGAAAACCATTTAGGAAACTTAAGTTTCTCGTACTATTAAGAGTACGTTTATAGATTACGTACTGCTTATGAGTACGTTTATAACATAGAGTCTTATTAGGAGGCTCGGATATTACATCGGTTTAGACGGGAGATACCAAAGGAAGTGATAGCGATTGAAGAGCGATTGGGCGTGTTAGTAATTTTCAAATACTGATTGGGTGAGGGCTTGCCGTTAATGAAAATTGCCCGAAAGAAGAGTCATACCGGAGTTATGTCATCCATTTCGTGAAGAGGTTTGTCGGGCCTCGGGCGGCCCATCACTTTCGTCAAAATGTGTGTGGGTACTGGCGGCTGCAGTAAGGGGTGATAATCTGATGCGGTCGGGCGTTTTATGCGGCTCGGTTTTGCGGGGTTGCTTACATTTGAGCAGTAGCTGGCAGGCTCACTGCTACTATTGGGGGCGCCTTCGGCCACGGTCTTTTTGCTGGCGGGACAGGCTGGCTTGTGGAGCTGAATTGTATGAGATTGGGTGTGTCTTCATTTAGAGGTGCAAAGGTTTGGGATTTAAGGTCCTGAAATGGTACGTGTGATCTAATGTTACGTGTGATGGAAGATTGTCAATCTGTGTCGTATCTGCGTGAGGATATAAAGCTGTTATTTGGATGTGGCATGTGGCAGCAGTGTGTGTATATGTAGTGCAGTGACTTTGGTGTTTCTTATAGTGTTTCTATTAGGTATGTAAGTGGTAAGAAGTGACCTACATAGCAACATTTTCCAGTGACTTAGCAACTTTTTCATTGCCCATTTCCGCATCTGTTTGACTATATTTTCAGTACTAGGTTGTACATCATGTGATGGAGATTAAACAAAGTATATATTAATCATATTGATATCGTTATAGGGTGTAATCGTAGACCATTAGTATATATTTGCTAGAAGTAGTGTGGAACGTAGACTGAATTTAGTATGTAGAATGTATCAACCTCAATATCCACTCTCTAGTGTGGTAAACAGTAGTCTGCAATATAAATTATGTATTGTATAGACTGTAGAAGTGTTAGTGTAGCGTAAGGTATATTTTAGTATGTTTTGTCGTGTTGTACACGGAGGATTTTAATTTTTTTTGCTCAAAAAACGATATATTGATTTATATATACTATTGTTCAATATTCAGAAGGCTACATATGATACTATATCCAAAAAAAATAACAATAATATATAAAATATATAGGTAATAAATCCGTGGATGTCGAAGACTGGGGAGTCTGGAGGAGTGCTTGATATTTTTTTGTCAAATGGTGAGGAGCGAACAGAGTGCTTGCTTTCACTTTTTGCAGTGGTTTGCACTGTTTGCAGTCGTTTCATTGCTCCAAGAAGAATAAAATAAATAAAGTGAAACTGTGATGATTTCGATAAGGAAACTGTATATAATTTTTTAACGATTTTTTTTTTGGGTGGTGGACTGGTCTGGTGAGTCAGCCTCATAGGTTGCTATGGGTGGGTTTAAAAACATAAATGATGGTGGTTTATCACAAAGTGTCATCATTTGTTGAGAAACTTGGCCAAAATAAACTAAAAAAATAGTAAAAAAAACATAAATAATATGGAGGTGGATAAATATTTACTTGTGGATTATAGTAGAGCAGCAGCCGGCAATATAAACCAGGTGTTGATTTCCAAAAACATAGTTTGCTCATAAATTTTCCACAAAAAAACCACAACGCCGATTGTGTACAAAGTCATACTATATAAATATATACTATTTATTCCTTCAAAAAAACAACATTTTGTTGAGAAAAACAACATTTCGATTTCAAAAAAATACCGAGATTCGTTGCAAAAAAAACAAAACAGGCCTCTGGACGGCCAGGAGCTGGAGGGATCTTGCCTAATAATTTTTAAAATAAATATTTGTTTCAAATAGAAAAAGTTGTAAACTATTTGCAAAAAAAAGCTGTCGGATGTGTGCCGGTTTTAGTATATTCTCAATATCCGTACCAAAAATAGTCGTATTTCTAAAAATAAACGGTGGTAGGTGGTCTCACTCGACTCCGGAGTCCCAGATCTATTTTTAAATCAAAACGGACGGTGAAAATTAAAAAAAAATAGCCAACGGACACACCACTAAATATTATTTCACAGTAGGAGATAGAAAAACACACCGGGGCCGTCCTTGACCCAACTTTGACTGTAATTTCCGAAATATACTCGAAATGTGTGCGATTTTTCCGTAATTTTTCGTTTGCTCAGCAGTATTTTTTTTGTTGAAACGTAGCTCTCACAGCGAAATGCGTTTCAGAATATTTACTTTGTTTCGATAAAACTCCGTCAAGCACCATCATCTAAGTTGTTTCAAAAAAGCCGAGGGTCGAGGGTTACGTCTGCCGCTCCGTTGCTAACATATCGGCGTCTTGTGGTTTGTTTACGAGACACACTCCTAAACCGTGGATTTCTTGCAGCACATCGAAGATTGCCTTGTTGATGTGGATCCTTTTACCGCGTGAAGTAGATCAGTCAGGAGATCTGATCCGACGACGGGCTGACACATCAGCATCGGCTTCAAGCTCACAGTCGGAAGGGCTGCATCTGCAACCCAACTGTACTGTTACAACATAAGAACGACTAAGGCTTGTTCTAAACTTTTTGCTTCTCCAGCTTTGTGATAAGCAAGCAACCGGTCTCACTATGGAGAATCCACTGTGCGACCTTTGCGGGCGTAGTGCTACCATCATGTGCCCGTTGCGGAAGAGACCTTATTGCTCACGCGAGTGTCAGGTATGGGAGCTGGTGTTCCTGTATGCGTGCTTGAAGTAGTCTTACAACATCGTAACGTATACTACTGTGTATTGATGTGAATGTGTGGTTGTGTGGTTGATTGAATGTCCAGAGATTCATCTCGTTTAGTGAAATGCCAGAATTCGTCACGATGGGAGTGAGCGTGCATAATGTTTAGTAACCCATTTCTCACTGTTGAATAGTTCAGGTTATCATCTCTATAGTTCTCGTAGCCAAGTTTGTACTTCCATTGTCTATGAGTTTCGCGACCTTGTAGTATGAATCTTCGTTTTCGCAAATAATACCGGTATATTATACTCTATCCTAAGAATATATGATATTAGCTGTTTATCAGCTTCGGATTGTGGAGTTATCATACGGCCGCATTTTTGTTTAAAACACTTCACAGGCTGCCAATACTGCGTCTGCTTCACCAATCGATTCTCTCAGAGGGCACGCATGGCGTGTACTTCACCTACCAGTGCGCCTCCACTGAACATGTGCATTCTAAACACCGTTTGCACAAATCGGTTCGTTCGTTCTTCCGTTTTCCGGACTCACCATACTCTTCCTAACCCTAACCCTTGACATTCCAATCGACATGACATGTAGGAAAGCCAACCTCCGCGCCCCGCCAAGCGCATGCACCCCAATCCCTCCGCACCGTCAGCCTATGGTCTAGACCGACGACTACCTGGCGAGTCTGGCTATTCCGGTGGCAACAACTACAGCAGCAGTAAAGCGGGAGGGTACGGGAGCAACTATGGTACCGGCCAGGGTTTCTCGGGAGGGCAAAATTTTGCCGGGGGCTCTGGGTTCGGTGGGGGACAGGGCCAGTTCACAGCGCCTCAGAGCGGATTCACCGCCGCACAAGGGTTTTCGCCGGGAGGATTTACCGGCGGTCAATCAGGGTTTTCTCCAGGGTTTTCTTCCAACCAGGCTGGCTTTGGTGCTAACCCCTCAGGCTTCTCGTCGTCGCGGAAGCAGAGCTTCGCCGGTGGTGCTAACAATCCTGGCTTTTCCGTAGGAGCCGGAGGCAATTTCGCGAGTGGATCGGGCTTTACTGGGAGCCAAGCAGACTTTGCCGGAGGTCAAGGAGGATTCGTAGGGGGTCAGGGAGGGTACGGAACGTATGACCAGGGGTACTCACACCCAGCGTATGACCAACAGCGCACAACGGGATGGAGCCAGCCATCAGGAGCTAAGCAGAACTCGCTGCAACAGGTGCAGAATTTGATTGCGGGCGATGCCGGAACACAGAAGAGCATGTTCCCATGGAAACGGAGCAAAGAGAACGGCGGAGAGAGCGGGGATGGGGGACGCGATATCAGTCCACAACCGGGCGCGAATTCCAACAAACGTGCACACAACCAGCAGTCTGACACGGGAGGTGGTGCTTATGACGAAGGCAATGGTATGGGGCTCGATAGAAGCATTGCGCACGGAGGCAGTACGATGAATATGCAGGATATGGGTATGCAGATGAATATTGGTGATGTTAACGCCAACGCCGATGCGATGGCCAAGAAACAGAAGAAAGGAAAGGCTCAGCAGGAGGCTCTTGCCGCTGCCTGGGACCCGAATGATGCCGGGAAGAAGGGCAACAAGGACAAGAAAGAGAAGCCCAGTTTTGCGTGCACCGTGGAGGGTTGTCAACGCAAGTACGCGAATGCGTACGCTCTCAAGTATCACATAGAGAAGCACAACACCGAGGGTCCCCTGGCATGCCCGTTTGATGGGTGTACGCAGAAGTTCTGGTATAAGAATGACCTGTCCGACCATCAGTTTGCTATGCATGCCGACCAGGCAAGTTTGATTAGTTGTTGTGTTGTGTGTGTATCCGCCTGAGTGTCATGTGTGTAGGTGTAGGTGTCCAGTAACCACACAATCGAGGTTCCTGATGATTAATTCTTTTTCAGGAACTGCAGGGTGGAACGCGAATTATTGATACCTCTGATGTGTGAAATGTGGTAGAGTTAGATTGGCTTAGTTTATTCGATATGCACAATATTAGAAGCGAGTACGATGCACTCAAATTGGTATACATATATATACATACACACATGCACAAACGCGTACACAGGCAGACCCCAACGGGAAGAACGGTAAAGACCAACCAAGCGCGAATGCAAATACACAAAAGTTTCCTTGTACATGGGAGGGTTGCAAGAAGGAATACGGTAACATGTATCTACTCAAGTATCATATGGAACGTCACGAACAGCCCGGTCCCCTCGTATGTTCTTGGGACGGGTGTAACATGCGATTCTGGTACAAAAATGAGCTCACCAATCACACACGCTCACACGCACAGCAGAACAACGCCGCGCAAACCCTGGGGAGTAATGCCTTGGTGCTGTCCGAACTCAAGAACGGCAACAACAACAACAACAACGCCAACGGGTCCATGGGCAAGAAGAACGGCAAGAACGGTGGCATGGCTTTGACCATGGTCACCAGCAAGGGGGGCCGGGGCAAGGCCGCCTCGGGCAAGGATAGGGTCGAGCATCCCTGTGTGTGGGAGGGGTGCAACAAGGTGTATGGCAATGCGTACGCGCTCAAGTACCACGTGGAGAAGCACAACACCCCCGGGCCGCTTATTTGCCCCGAGGACGGGTGCGGCGGCCGGTTCTGGTACAAGACCGATTTCACCGACCACACCCGCGCCCACGAGCGTGCTGCAGCCGAGGCCAACGGTACGCTGACCGGCGCCGACGGCACCATCGACCAAGCCTTAAAACCAAAGGGACAGTTCCCGTGCACGTGGGGGGGGTGTCATAAGGTGTACAGCAGTGCGTATGCGCTCAAGTACCATCTGCAGAAGCACTCGAGCGAAGGGCCCCTGGCCTGCACGTGGGAGGGCTGTGGCAAGCGGTTCTGGTACAAGTCGCGTCTCACGGCGCACAACCGTGAACATACCGGCGAGAGCCACCCGTATCCCTGCACGTGGGAGGGCTGCGGTAAAAGCTTTGTGACCAAGAGCGAGCTGACCGTGCACACGCGCAAACACTCGGGCGAGCGCACCTTCCCCTGCCAGGTCGAGGGCTGTGAGGACAAGTTCTCAAGTCGCTTCAACCTCAACGTGCACATGCGCTGGCACACGGACAAGGGCCTGCTCACGTGCTCTTGGCAGGGCTGTGCGGATCAACGCTTCCAGTCACAGGACTCTCTGGCCGAACACATGCGCATGCACGACGCCTCCTTTGGCGGCACCATCATCGGCGACCACAGCAAGGAAGTGGGCCCCGTTTCCCGCATCAAACTAATCCCCAACAACCCGAATATGGGCATGCAGCAGCTTGCGGCCGCGGCGCCGGCGCCGGCTCCCGCGCCCAAGAAAGGCAAGTCACGCGGCAAGTATCTCTGCCCGTGGGATGGCTGCCAGGAGAAGTTCAGCTCGTCTACGAACTTACTGGCCCACTTCCGCACGCACACGGGGGAGATGGTGACCTGCACCGTGCCCGGCTGTGGGCTCGGGTTTGCGCTGGAGTCTGAACTGGAGCAGCATTTCAGGGGCGTGCACGGGTTGGAGTTGTACAAGTGTACCTGGGACGGATGCTCGCGCACGTTCATCAGCAATCAGCTGCTGACGGAGCATTTGCCGATCCACTCCAAGGGCAGCGGCGCCAAGCCGTTTATGTGTACCTTTGGGCCGTGCCAGGATAAATTTGCCACCTGGTACGAGCGCAAGATCCACATGATCACGCACGCGCGCGACAGGCCCTACACCTGCACGTACGACAACTGTGACAAGACGTACGCGTCCAGCGCCCGCCTTAAGAGTCACTCCAAGAAGCACACCAGCCAAGTAGGCGAGGGTGGCGAGGAGATTGACGAACACAAGTTTGTCTGCACCGTGGCCGGCTGTGGTAAGGAGTATCTCAAGGACTCGACCCTGGCCAACCACATGCTCAAGAAGCACTCGGCGGACGCTCGCATCATCTGAGCGGGGTAGGCGTGACGAGTTGACGACTAGAGAGGCGGGAGCGGATGGTGGCCCCGTCCCACGTGCACATGTGTGTAGTTTCATGGGGTGTGCACTTGTATATATGGTTACACGTGCATGTCCGATACATGCTGTTCGTACAGGTTTTTATAATGCGCTGGCGGCCCGGTGTTCCAGTACAACGTTGTGGGGTGTGACGAGGGGCATTCCGTGGACTTTTATCTGGCAGACACTACGCGGTAGAAACTAGGGCACTTCGGTGGCACAGTGGTTTATGTACAGGCACGTGAAGACGGTTGCATTGCCCGTCTCACGTCCTGGGGGTTTATTGACAAAGATTACATACGGGGTACATATGATTGAGACGTCAATCAAAGGTTTACACACGTGTGCATCGGACGCGCACACTCTTCCTGTGTGATGGGCTCAGAGTGAGGCAGCCTAACACAGGGCTGAATGAGGGAGTCTGTAGGCATACTTGTTGGTGCGTCGACTAAGCTACATGACTTATTGATAGGCATTGGGGCCCAGAACATGTGGCGATTGGATGTGGGTGGGGAGATCAGGGCGAAATTCGGGTGGGCTACAGTTGGAAGGAGTAACTGTTTCGCACGGTACGTTTTCGCTTGCCGTTTATTGTTATATATAACGACTATTTACACTAACACCGCTTCATACGCACTGACGCTTGTGGGCGCGCGTGTGTGTGTGGATAGGACTGGGTCGATTATTTCTGTTCTGCACAGTACGTGTATCATGTGCACACTCCTATACGTTAGCGAGGCGAAGGGCCACGCACCCGGGTGTCGGGGTGGTGCTGGTGTCTGGCAATACTCAACATACTGCATACATTGGGTGTACATGGGTTTATATATATATATATATATATATACCCTACAAAGAAAGTGGTTTGTACTGTTCACATGCATGGAGCCTGGTCGGGCTGATCAGAGATGGAAGTCATGCATGGGCGACGATTGCTCTGCGGGAATGCCGTGGGCAGACAGGGTAGACACGTATCTATACGTACACACAGACGTATGTATATGTGGATATGTGTTATCTATGTTTATAGGCATTTATATATATTGCATATATTATACGTATAGGTATATTTTATATATGTATATTTTATATATGTATATTTTATATGTATATGTATATGATGATACATACATAGACTTGAGATGGAGGTGGTACGAGAGGATGCAGCATATGTACAGAGTTGTTTAGTTTGCTGAGTACTGCTGCACTGCGCTCATCGGAGTCCTACTCATGGAACAGCCTGCATCGGGCTACCGATCACAACTTATTTAGAAGTTTGTATGTGTATCAATAGTTATTACAATTACAAAGAATTGACAACAAATTAAAGTTCTGGAAACGAAGAACGGCTCTTGAGATTTTAAATTGCCCAGTAGTGTTAGTTGGCATTTCAATTATTCATTACTTGTGGCCAGGATCGTATCTTTTGTATAAGTATATACATATTTACGGACACACAATCGCCAAATACTCGTATACTTGAGAGAGAATCAACTGTGGTCTCTCAACGACAAGGCTACAGAGAAGATAACAATTTACATTAACTTGCTATCGGAGGATATTTATGTATCTATGTATATCTATATTATATAGAGCTCGCACATTCCTTTCGAACTGTTCAAGTACTGAATCAACCCGTGCTACATTTCACTTCCACTGAGGTGTATTCATGTGCACAAACTACAAAGCTGAATAGTTCTAGTATATCAAAATAATAAATTTAAGATATCAGAATGACGAAAGTTCAATCCCCGTATACGAAAAAAAGGATAAAAATATTTTCTCAAAATGGTTATATATATATTTATATATATATATATATATATGTATATATATATATGTATATATATATATATATATATATATGTATATATATATAATATAGATATATATGTCATATATATATATAACTATATTTATATATATATATATATATATAGATATATCTATATATACATATATATGAATATATATACGTATATATATATATATATATAAATATATACATAATCACACACACAAACACGCACACACACACACACGCA